ATCTACTCAGACTGCTCTCCCTGTCCCCCCCCCTTCCCCCCCACTAATCGTCGTTACTTCTTCCTTCCACCCGCTGACCAGCATGCAGGTGAATTGAGGGGGGGGATGGGAGACCTGTGGAGGCCTGAGAATTCCTAGAAGACTGCCTTTTCTCCCTGACACGCCTCCTTTCTCCCAGCCCAAACAATAAGCACTCAAACTTCCCATGCCTCCGCCTTCCAAAAGTGCCTCTGTGTAGTGTGAGCGCTCTCTTCCCCTCTCCTCCCCCCTCCCTCACCGCCTTCTCCCAGTGGGCGACTGTTATTCAGTCCCGCCGCAAGTTGAACAACTGGCATAGAGGCACGCCCGGTTGTGCCTTGTAAGAATGGTGGTGGATTGTTAAAATTTGGGCGGGAACAACAGCTAGAAGCGCAAACTCCTCCACTTGTTGTCAGAATGTCATCATCCTCTCGCCTGCGTGTCTTCTAAGTGGGACAGGTGGGTTTATTTATGGTGTCTGAGTGCAGGGCGGCAAGTGGCTGCGTGACTCCGAAGGCGCTGTCAACGGCTCGGCAACAGCGGTAGGGGGTCTCTGAGTTTGCGTGTTGGAAAAAACACCGGTGGAGCTAATGCCAGTGACTTAAAAAGGTAGCGTGGATATCAGACAGAAAAGAGAGCAGGCGGAGAGCAGTTTGGGAGGACGTGTGGGCGTGCTGAGAGTAGTGGAAAATGTTTGCCGCCTAAGACGAGGCGACAGATTTCGACACCCCCGTTGCCAGAGAAGCGTTGCTTTGGTGTAACCTGCGACTCAGAAACAGTGGTACGGTGGTAGATTGGGAGGACTATAAACCATCCACGTCCGCCTGTACTGAATTCTCGGCGGATGCTGGTTTAATCGCAAAGTAGGTTAGATGTGGTTACATAGCCACACCTGAGGCAAACAAACCCCAGCCACCTGTAATACGGGACAGGTGGTGATAGGGATTTTTACGGGTGGGGCCGGAGAACGCATGGGCAACGAGGTCGAAAGATAAACTATTGGGAATGTGCGGTTGCATTTTGAGTGGTTGAGAAATAGTTTCCCTAACCGTTAACCCTAAGCCCTAACGCTAACAACTAACCATAACCCCTAGCCGAAGTTTCTGCGCAACATTTTGGACCAGATGTGGCTATGTAGCCACACCTGAGGTAAGAAACTCCCTCCACCTATAATACGGAACCCGTGGTAATAGGGGTTTCTACAGGTGGGGCCGAGGAACGCACAGACGACGAGGTCAAGTAGTCGTATGCTAACGAAAAGGCATTAGGGATGCGCGGTTGTACTTTAAGTGGTTGGGAAACAGTTGCTCTAACCCCCAACCCTTACCCCTAGCCTTAGCCCTAACCCCTTAACCCTAACCCTTAACCGCAGTCCTAAACCCTAGACCTGAAACATTCAACGCGAAAGTTAGAAGAGGACGAAAAGCCGAAAGTCAAGAAGGACCACAGACAGTGGGCCAAAAGGTAGATGCGACAACAAATAAGGCCACCAATGGAGGACACACCGCAAAGCACAGAAACACCATGCTAACATGATCACACCCACTCGAACTAACTAAGTACGTCAGATGTATTGTGTCCATAAGAAGAGGAGGAGGAGGAGGAGGAGGAGGAGGAGGAAGAAGAAGAAGAATAAGAAGAGGAGGAGGAGGAGGAAGAAGAAGAAGAAGAAGAAGAAGAAGAAGAAGAAGAAGAAGAAGAAGAAGAAGAAGAAGAAGAAGAAGAAGCGATCGCTGGAACAAGAGCTTTTTTCGCCTGACGCTTCGGATTCCCACTTGAACCCATCATCAGAGACAGTCACAGTATTGCGTCCATTAGGTGCGTCTACATAACCGCACCTTACCGCAAAGTATCCCACTGTTCCTGGGGCGGACTTTATTTCCCTGACAACTAACGGGGCAATTCCACATTATACGGCATACTATTCACAAAATGCCTCCTGTGGCGATTCCGCTTTCCCTCAACAAATTTCTGCTTGCATTCAAGGACCAGAATCAGTCCTCCATAATTAGGGGGCTAGACTTGGCACGCTAAGCTTAAGTCTACTACTGGCGAGCTGTCACTCGTGACGGCGCCTTAACCGTCATCGGACACGCGATCAAGTCGGCTACCCTGCTTTAAATAGCCAAGACAACCGTGATTTACTTTTAAGTACAGGGAAGAAATGGCACGTTCAGGCATCGCTCGGTTGTTGATCGAGATGGCAGGCCGATGAAACAGGGACCAATTCCTGGGCAGGTGGCAACCCTTCAGTCGTGGCGTAAGGAATGACTTCAAGGAGGACATGAATAAATGGGGATCAAAACAGCGTCCCCCCTCCCCGGTTTAGCCTTTCTAGGGTTCCAGCACAGTCGTTTTAGCGCAGTCGCGTAGTTCTCCGTTTCTGTTGGATGGAAGCCAAAATGAACGGTGGGATTTCCTCAGCACAAAATTCACAGGGCACGCCGTCACTTTTCACCTCCTCGGTTTTGTCAAATAAAAATGCTGACACTTGTACTTCAAAAACTTCACCTAACACCAGCAGACTTCCTTGTAATGAACGTGGTGAAGGGGAGGGAATTTTTAAACTGGCGAAAATTGACTCGTTTTGTTAGACAGTAAAGTCGATTGTTTACGGAGGAGTAGATTCCGGCCCTCGATTCATAGATGTTTAACGATGATGTTTGAAACTGCACGAAGTCCAAATGTCGATTTCGTGCTCAGCTCGTCGTGTACAAAATATCATTTGCGGTAGAACGAATTTCATTTTTTGATGCTTAGGAGAAACGTTTATAGTCTTCTCTTCTTCCTAACTATAAACAGAAGACTAATATTCACAAGGGAAACTGTCCAGCCACTCGCCGAAGTTACTAAGCAGCGTGCGATCCAATGAAATATAACTTGTCTTCTTACTGATTGTTTTTCAGTAGCAACCGAACACGTATATATTTCTCGTTTCGCTGGCAACAGACTGATGACTTACCACATGGGATGAGTGTCAGCTTCCAACCGCTGAAAATCAAGAACTTGGCGTTGGTTAGACTCCAGCATTAATATCACAGACTGCACTTTCGCACTATTTTCGCCTTTCAACGTATCGCCATTAACAGGCTGCCGGTCGACCGGTCTCCTGTGACCGGCTATTTAACCGAAAGAAACTGGTCTGTTTATTTCTCCGCTCCATAGCAGCAGCTTCAGTGACTGGGTTACGCGTTTGGAAGCTTACTGAGAGGCCATGGAGAATACTGTATTAAAGGGATTTCAGGGACTCGTGAGAGATTATGAAATGCGCAGAAAAGAGTGAGTAAAACAAACCTCCGAGCTCCGGTTCGTCCAAGTTGCGAGACCTCGCCAATGTTGACGTGAAAAAAATGGACTTGTTAAATGACGAAACGTGGATCTTTGTGACGGTTTGCATCAACTACTCTACAGGGATCCACGGACATACGTACTCTTAAGAAGACTGGTTACATGTTTCACCAATGTATTTTGAAAACTCCGAGTTTATAGACTTCATCACTAGCAATTCAAATCACCAATCGTAGAGTAAGTCCAGTTATCAGGACTCGTCAAAAATCATACAAACAAGAGGAACTTCTTCAGAAAGAAGTTAAGTTGCATTTGTGGCTTTTAAAGTTAGCGACACAAATCCAAAGTCAGATGAAATGAATGAAGCAGAATGTTGTATCCTCACACTAGAGCGTTTGAAGCCGAAGAGATTACACAAACAGATTACGGATGCTGAGGGGAGTAGGCACAGAGATATGGTAGTTTTTGGATGGGGGTGCGGTTACAGTTCTCTATGCTGGAGGAGGAATAGGAGGAGTGGGAGGAGGAAGAGGAGGGGTGGATAGCAGGTCAGTGAGACTTTAGTCTGTCGGATTCTTTAATATTCAGTCATGCTAAAGACACTCGCAATCGGAGAAGGGATCCAGTGGCTGGCGAGCGAGGACTTCATTCGAAGCTGGTCTTTATCCCCAGAGATAACAACTTAGCAACGCCGCCCCCTCGTGAAATTTGTTTTTACAGTTACAATTGGTTTAAAAATTGGTTTGATTGCACAAGCAGATTCACGTTACATCACCGAGTCAATTGACACGGGTGAAAGACTGTTAGCCAATAGCAGCTACAAGTAAACAGTCAGTTGCGTTTCTTTGTTTCAATTGGCTTGCTGTACGCAAAAATTCTACTGAGTTTTTTCTTTATAGAGCACACATGGCACAACATGAACTGTCTGTTTGGCTCTGTCATTTTAGGCTGCTGCAGCTTCCTAACATCGTCTTGCGTCAACGCCATTCTCTGGGACATCTGAGACTGGTTCGCGGGTAGGTAGGGGCCACCGCGTTAGCTTTGCCAGCCATTACCCTCGCGTCCAGCTCCGTCATCTTGACTCCGTCCCGCCATCGGAAAAGCAGGTAAATGCCGTGGAGATTCAGGGATAATTCATCGATGTTTGGCAGATTTTTGAATAATTCGTATTGACCCAACCGTGAAAAACTCAGCGCCTCGGTGGGATTCGAGCCCACGCAGTAAGGGGAAGGCTTTAGTACAGACAACGCTCTAACCACTTGAGCTACGAGGCCCCGCCGGACGACAAAACACCTATGAAGTACGTCAGCCTTGTAGTCATCTGGTGGATTCTATGTGAATTACTTAGGAAATCCTGCTTGGGCAGTCAGCTTAACATATCAGATTTGATGGATTCCAGACGTTGTAGTAGGTTGGGCGCGTAGCTTGACCCGAATGTGATTAAACTCACGTCGTCCGGCGGGGCCTCGTAGATCAAGTGGTTAGAGCGTTGGCTGTATAAAGCCTCCCCCTTACTGTCGTGGGTTCGAATCCCACCGAGGCGCCGAGTTTTTCACAGTTGGGTCAAAATTAATTATTCAGAGATAAACCGCCGTGGTGAAACGAAGAATGTCTGCGCGACCGTCAAAGCAGTCTACGATCTTTAGCGGGCCTAGTCAATCGATAACGCGATCCCACGCCAAGACCAAATTGGGACAAGCCAAGCGAAACGACCACGCCGGAACCGACTTAACTGTCAACGCTGCTCAGTGACGAATAAAGGCAGTGGGTGAAAAGTCACCTTGCGAAACCAGTTTGAGTCTCCGTGTAACCGGTACATAAACACCAACTTAAACAAAAGTGAATAAATGAGGGTCTAGAAAATGTTTAACAAATGGAAGTTGTGTATAAACAAAAATATGACAAAGGGCTGCCACAGGTCCACAAGGCAGGGGAACTGCGTCATTGCTGAGCCAGGATGAAGTAACCCTCCTGACGGGAGACTCGCAGATCCTGAGATGCAGAGCTGTGCACTTCCAGGGCGTCCTGAGCCACCCGCCGACAATACACGAGGAAGACATCAATCGAAATCCCCGTCCGACCACAACCATCCAGGCCCTCCGCTTGAGGCAACAGTTGCCCAGCAGAAACGCGCCCGGAGCAGCTGAGGTTTACAAGTACGGCGACCCGCAAATCATAAAAAAGTCAACCTCATTCTATAAGAAGAGAGGACAAGGACACTTCCCCCAAGACTTCAAGGATGCCACCATCTTGCACATCTACAATCGCAGGTAAAACCAACAGATGCGATAACCACAGAGGCATCTCCATTCACAACATCGCAGGAAAAGTCTTCACCAATGCTCTACTCAATCGCCTGAACATGCATCTGGGGCAACGATTTCTTCCGGAAAAGCGGTGCGGATTCCGAAAACATTGCGCAACCACAAAACGGCCTTCGCGGCCACCAACGAAAAAAAAACTGCCAGAAAATGAAGACTACCTTCTACACCACTTTCGCCAATCTGACGAAGGCCCTCGATACGGTGAATCCTGATGAACTTCAGAGATGTCCGGAGCGATTTACTCAAATGGTAAGGCAACACGACGGGATGATGGCTCGCGTCACGGACAACGAGACAATCTCGGTGGCCATTGGAGTGAATCAGGGCTGCGTACTCGCCTCTGCCCTATTCAGTCTCATGTTCTCCGCCTTGTCAATGGATACCAGCCGTGAGGGACCGGCGGGGATCGACACCAAGCCTCGAAGTGACGGAAACCTGTTTAACGTCCGTCGTCTGAAGGCATTTTCGAAGGTGGCCGAGGACAGAGTCAATGACCTAGTGTTCGCGGCTGACCGGGTGCTAAACACCACAACGAAAGGCGACTTGTCGCGGAGTGTGGAACTGTTCGACTTCGGCTGCTCCAACTTCTCCCTGGCCATCAGCACGGAGAGGACAGTGGTCCTGCACCAACCGCAAACAGGTGCTGACTACACCGAACCCCCTATCCGTGTCAGTGGGTCTTAGCTTGCAGCAGTGGATAAATTTGCTCACCCCCTGGGAGTACCATCTCAAGAAGCATCAAGATCGAGGACAAAATCGTAAGTCGGATCCCAAAAGCCATCTAGACCTTCGACCGACTAAAGCACTCCGTCCGGAACTGAGGATGTGTCTTGATAACACTCCTGTACGAGACGCAGGCGTGGACTGTTCGTCACTGCCAAGCAAGAAGACTCAACCACTTTTGTTCCAGCGGGCTCTATAGAATGCCGAAGTTGACGTGACAGAAAAGGATCCCAGACACTGAGATCATGGAAAGAACCGGCGTCCTAAGTATCCACGTCATGTTGGGGCAGATACAACTTCGATGGAGCGTCACTGTTGTAAAGATGGACGATGAGCGTCTGTCGAACTGGCTATTCGATGGGGTCGTAGTTCATGATGATCGTAGACAAGGGGGAAGAAGTCACCACTACAAGAACACCTTGAAGTCTTCCATCGAATGCCCGTAAATCAACATGGAGGCCTGGGAGGACTTCACTCACAATCAACAAGCCTGGCACACTGCTTTAAAGGCCGGATTAACCATCTGGAAAGCCAGTCAAATAGCCGCTGCCAGTTCAAAGAGAAAAGTCCACAAAACTAAAATGCTACGAACCAACTACGTAAGCCCTGACAACGTGTCCACAGAGTCAACCGACAAGTCGACCACGGTTCGATATCACTGGACATCTGCGGACCCAGTGTAATGTCAACGAGACCAACCCTCCTCTTCTCTCGCAACACACCACCGCCAGTTCGACCTTCGTTTCCGACGATGCTCATCATGTGCTCCAAAGGGGGTGGGAGCAGGGACGTCGATTCTCGCGTGAATTCGTTCATAGTGATATAAGACCTTTGCAGCATCTACCGCACTCTCCTCCTCCCTCCCCTCCACATGGAGTCGGTATCACGACATAGTCAAGAAGATCGGAGGCTGGACAGGGCGCAGGTGACTGGCGCGGCGGGAACCTGCACCTAGGCGTGCCCCCACACGGACTTGGATCTTACTGAGTGAGTGTGCCATAAAGACCACTAGGAATGAGCTATTAATCTGGTTCTTAGTCCACCAATAGGCCGCTCAAGGCACAACCACACACTGAACGGACCGTGAGGTCGGAATTAAGTCGCCAGCTGGTAACCTTGCAAGACACGGATTTTAGCGCATCACGATAATCTCAAGTGCGTCAGATCGTTTGTAATGAGGATCCGTGCGCAGAGGATCGACATCACTCGCTCTACTCTACTCCGTGCACCAGTCGACTGTTCGAGTCGGTCAACTAACTTATGCTGAGATTGAGACGGTTGACAGAGCTAATACACCCGTATCTGCTGTTGTCTCTGATGATGGATTCCAGCAGGAATCCGAAACGTCGGTCTAATAAAGCTCTTACTCCAGCGATCGTATCTCCTTCTTCAAGAGCTAATATTAGGCCGTCTGCGCGTGCCACACACACGACCAAGCCCCATATACACGCATAAGATATTGCGACGAATTCACTGAAAGTCACTACAAAGTACCATCACTACGAGGGCTATGGTTTGCTGATATTGGCACAGCACACGCTTTCAGACCTTTCGACCTAGAAGGGCGACACGTGGCCCTGCATTTAGCCTGGGTCGTCACCCTTTAAGGCAGGGTAAACAAACAGTCGTCGACTAAAAGGCACTACCCATAAACTACACATACTCTCCTCACATACATGAGAGTATCACAGATGGCCTGAGAAGGAGCCGTGACAGCCTGGTTCTCAGACCACCAGTCCATCACTCCACACAACACACGCGACAACTGGGCAGACTGCGTGAACCGAGTTGGGGCGTCAGTCGGCTGCCTTTCGAGCCACGGCGTTCGGCTCACCGTCTTCGTCTCAGATTCCGATCGCACATGCAGCAAGAGAGCCGCATGGAGAAGGAGTCGAGACGCACACTTCCCACCTGCGTGGGAGGTGGCGGTTGGGTGCTTGTAGCGGGTGATTTTGGTGTGCGGTGAGATGCTGGTAAGGGAGGATGGGATAGTGTGGTGCAGCCGGCGGTTGTCGTGGACGCGCATGTGATCTACTAGACCCATGCGGTGAATAAATGCGCGCCGGGTGTGGGATGGTACAGAAGTATCCACCCTGTCCACTTATGCATTTGGAGGAGACGGTTAGTGAATCTCACGTAAGCAGTACTGCTATCGTGACCATTTCTCTGCCAAAAAGCCCCGATGCTGTCCACTTTGCGACATCCTAAGTGAAAATTATCGTCAGTGTATCGGCTGCATACATTCTCGTTTATTGGAAGAAGTTCAGCGTACACTGAGCCGCATTTTTGAATCTGTAATTGCCGTATAGCGGCATCGTGCATCAACTTTCGTTTCGAAACTCTCTGAGCTGAGGTCATCGTAGATAATGCACCAGAATATCTACAACTGACGGTCCAATCTTGTACGATGAAACACCAAACCGAAATAATGTCGTCGGACCTAAATCCATTTACATAAGTATAGAAAGGCATTCTTTTTATGCTGCAGGTGCTTGGGGGCATTCGCCCGATCCTTACCCTTTCGTTTAGAGAAGTATGCGGGGAGGCATGAGGGCATGCCGCAGTCGCAAAAATTCAATCTACACGCCACGATACAGGATTGGGTGGCAAGTAAGGATCAGAATATTGTGTGTGACATTGTGCTGCATAACGCTGTAGGTCACTCAGCTCAGCAGCACGTGATCACATGTAAAAAGCGTAGGCAGCCGTCGGTAAGGGACGATATTTTCGTGAAGGATGAGCTAAACAAGCTGTGTCTGTGCCAGCGCGAGGGCCAAGGTCTGCTGATACTGGCTCTCAGACCTTTTGACCTAGAAGGGCGACACGTGGCCCTGCATTTAGCCTGGACCGTCACCCTTCAAGGTTGGGTAACCAAACAGTCCTCGACTGAGAAGCACTACCTATATAACACACACGCAAGCACAAACACTCTCCTCACATGCGTGGGTGTATACATGACGGTTCAGTTTACTGCGATATCACCACGACAAACCTCCCTCCAACACCGGAAGATTCTATCACCAGCCCTGCCAACTCTGGCATCACCAGCGTGACCACCACCAATAGTACCGCAAACACAGTTAACTAGCCATATACCAGCCTGTCCTAACTGTAACTGCATTTCTCGCTGCGCATCGGCCTGATGGGACACTTGCGGATCGGTCGCACTGGGATTGGCGCGCCAGTGCCAGAAGGCCCAAAATACACTCCTCGCATCCGCTTCACCTGTCCTCATCGCATGGGTCTATTTGTTCATACGCGCCTCCGCACGAATCCTCGGCAAGACTGTAGTCGAGAAGCTGTAATCACACCTTGCCTTACCTGCCCACACACATCCGCATGCCACATATGAACCCACTCAACATAACGCGCAACAACCCATAGTGAGCATACCTCTTTCCGGTAGCAAGCTTATGATTTTCTCCGTCATCAGCGCAGTCACAAATCAGAGCCTGCACATCTCCCGTGCGTGGTAACCATGTTTTTTGACTTATCCTGTGGCTCGCGTGCACTGGCTGGCTGGCTCTGTTAGCCACTGTACGCAATATCATCACCAGATGAATGACAGGCTCGGAGAGTCGAGTGTTGCATGGGAGAGACTGGAGCCGACTCGACTAATCAGCGCATCCACCACTACGGCAAATCAGACGCACCTGAATCGACCACGATGCGCTAAAAGCCGTGGATTGGAAGATTGCCAACTGGCGGGACAACTCGGCCCTCATAGTCAGTGTACTGTGTGTGTGTGTGGAATGACTGACTGGAGAACTAAAAGCCAGACTTCATGGCTCCTGCGGCAGTGTGGCCTTTAATGCCAATCTCACACACACACACGACAGATCCGAGTCATTTCGGGGAACTCTGGTACACTGTGTGGGTATTCGGTCTTGTGCGGCACGCGTGAACGGACTACTCAGCTGTGTCTGTCACTGTACCCCAGCCCACCTACAGCCGTCTTGACACTGGAGACTGATGGAGATGAGGACAGAGCGTGGTCTACTTCACTGCACATTAACTCATGCACACAGTATCGGCACTACGCCCACCTCGTGGGGCACACAGTGGACGTCGTCGCTTGTGACGGTCGAACTAATATTGTCATAGGACATTCGAGACTCCAATCTCAACATAGACTAGTCCTGAAGAAGGAGACACGATCACCGGGACAAGAGCTTTATTAGCCTGACGTTTCGGATTCCTGCTCGAACCCATCATCAGAGGCAAAAGCAGATACGGGTGATTCAGGCACAAGGGGCTACAGTATTTATAGGATGCAGTCGCTATGCTACCGCATACCTATGATCATTCACGGCGCCCCCTCCCCCCCTTCATCAGAGATCGTTGCACGTGGTGTGATGGCCGACATTCGCGTCGTTAATTGCTGCAATTTCATCCCCTGCGTTGGGTGTAAGTGTGATGATTGCTCGACCATCTGACGCATCGACCCCGGTGTTGGGAAAAGTGTTCACCTGTGCGCTCCTAGCGTGGCTAATTACTCCGCCTAGGCGAAGTTTCAGCACAGGGTATGGAAGGGGAAGTTCATTGTACTGGGCTAGATATGTCTAAGACGTTAAAATTGCAAGGTCAAATTCTAGGCTAACGAATAGTGAGCCCGACATCAGGCTGACGCTTCTTACACCTACAGTTAGTGGATCCTAGTTACCCTATGGCAACGGTGGTTCTTAAGAGGACAGTTGAAGACAAACCCGACGATCGATAAGCAGCAGCAGCGAAAGACCTTAGGCGGATTGTAAGCAGACTGTACTATGCCGTCAAAAATCTAGAGATACAATTACAGCAGATGTGCTAACTCACGAAATGTTAACCGAAATTCCAAAATGCGCTTTCGACTCGAAAAGATTACTTAAGTAGGGTTTTAATAATGATTACTGTGTAGGATAATCTCAAGATATTTCAGTTACGTCGAGATGCCGGCCTTTGAACGAACTTCTTTCCGGTCGCCTGCAAAAATTACACTCCGTAAAAAATGATTAATTAAGTAGTACGAATTTTTCCCATTGATTTTCGATGTGCCTATAAATTTAAAGATATTTCACAGAAAACACGCATAAAACATTCATCCTTCTGCACAATTTGTAGAAAATTACATCTTCGAATGTTATACTTGAAGGACGGGCATGATTTGGCTTCAAAAGTTCCTGATTACGAGATTTTTCAAGACTGAAATGCCCGTCCACAAAACATCGTGTCGTCGCATTTACTAATATTGCTTGTACAGTTTACAACATGGCTCAAATCCATCGCTAAATTTTATGAACCCCATATGATCTTTTCCTAATAGCGTATTGAAATGTATGATTTTCTGTAGACGGAAAATATACTGTTTGTAGTTTGGAAACCCTAAAAGCAAGCAACGGTAGGCCGCGTTCAAAAATTATTCGGGAAATGGAAGTCTTTCAAAGCCAAATCATACCCTTTCTTCAAGTATGAAATTTGAAGACAAAATAATCTACCAAGTGCGCAAAAGAATGAATACTGTATGCATACTTTCTATGAAATGTACTTGGATTTATAGGGGCGTCAAGGACCAATGGGAAAGGTCATACCACTCAAGCTGTAATTTTTAGAGTAGTTTTTGCAGGCGGACACAGAACCCGTCCAAAAGCTGAAGTAACTGAAATATCTGGGGATCACGCTGCACGTTAATACTACAATACTCAAGTAATCTTTTCGAGTCAAAAAACGCATCTTATAATTTCGGCGAACATTTAATGAGTTAACACATTTACTGTAAGTCCTAACTATTCCTGTCATCCAATCAGCCTCGTCCACCTTCCCTCTGTGGTTCTCAGTAGCTGGGTAAGCAAACCCAGTAAAACCTCGGCCGCCTGATAAATATACAAACATATTTTCAATCCTAACAACAATCCTAGAATCGAGTCCACAGATTCGAAATGCGCCATCCGATCGAAAGCCACGAAAAACCCCGTCGCTTCCTTCGAAGATGAACAGTCCCAAAGCCTCACGGCTTAAAATAATCATCGTACATATGCAACATATAACATAAACGACCGGGAAACGTTCTACAAACCGAAGTCATGTGTTACCCTTCTATCCGGCAAGCAAACGACAGCCTTTCCAAAGAAGGTTCAAGGCGCCACTCCAATATCCAAACAGACCCTCCCTCCTGACGTAATTGGTTGAATTAATTTCCTCCATGAGAGGTTGTTCGACAAGCAAGCAGACAGACGTTTCTCGGGCGGTCTTCCAGCGACCAGACTACCCCTTCTGGCTTGTTGGCGAGGCTACGAATCGTTGATAGCAAAAGTGTACCTGCCACAGCCCGCGCCTTTCGCATGAGATATGCCAGAAGAAGCAGGCACTAGAGTTACCAAATCAGTGCAGGCAAGTAAAACTGCCCTCTATTGTAGTGGGCAGCCATCATGATCAGTCTGGCGTCATTTTTCAAGACCTCGCTGCCTCAAGATCATTCACCCCTTGCAGCGAGCCGTCCCAGACGAGCTGACCTGATGTCACACGACCAACAGCTCGGGCATACCTGCGTCCGCGCAGTCGCAGCTGCCCATGCGGCCACTTGAACGCACCTCCCCCCTGCAATCACAGCCTAAGCCATTAGGACATCACCCCTCGGTAAATGCAACACACACTGACTGGCCACCACTTGATCTTGGCCGACGAGCCTACAAAAGCAGCTGACACCACTATCTCAAAGGCTCTCAGGCATGACTGGACGCAGTCAACACCAGCCCTGACTTCGCCCGTGGCCACCGTCGCCTGAGAGGACAACTCCGGGTTCTGTGTTCAATAAACCCCTCAAACTGATGATTTCCGTCTTCTCCTTCCAATCTGGGATTTGACTTGATAATTGTAGCTCACATGCTGCACACAGTGACACTGCTTAGTCGCTACACTATTCATCAAAAGGCAAAGTACCACCAGCATCTGTGGTGCTCGACTCATTAAGAAAGGGGGTAATGCACTTGTCGTTTAAAAAACTTTATAGTAGAAAGGCGCCAAGGTAAAATGAGGAAAAAAAACGTCCGAACACTACCAAAGAATAAAATTAGACTGAACTCTGGTTGTAGTTGGTGGTGTTGACCAACCGCACACCACACATGGCACAAATGCCCTTCTTAAAGGCGCAGGCCTGACAGTAATGACAGGCAGGCTGGTGCACGCTCTGGGCACAAATCCGGCACTTTCGAAAAGACTTTGTGTAGGGGTTAAAACGACTCTTTGACCCCGTGAGTAGTTTGTTTTCGTTCAACTTGCGGCCACCTTTGACCACATTTCGGGCACCGGCCTTCCATGGATCGGGTGTGACAATCTGGCCCAATTTTTTCTCACCTAGAAGACGTGGGGGGATAAGCATAAGAGGAGAAGGACCAACATTTTTCGCAAACCATGGTAATACGACGTTTGACGCCTAGGGTTCTTCAGAGGTAATCTAAAGAAAAATATGAATGGATAAAGTCAGGTGGTGTCGACACAAAAAAGGAGAGTTCGAGTAAAGAAAACACTGTGATTTCGGGGAAGACGAAGTCGCCTGTTGGCCTAGCTAGCGTTGACAGGTGGCGGACGGTGGAATGGCCTTCAACGACTCAGCAAGCTCTCAGTCGCATGTCAGCGGCAACAGAAGATTTGGGACGTCGACTGCCTTATAACATGCTGCCAGGCCAAATGACGGCATATAAATCGGCAGTAAATAAGCTGGCTTACCATCGCTGCCCCGTAGTTAGGTTCTTGAGCCGAAACGATCAAGGGGACAACCTTCAATCTGTGCGGCTGGTAGGGACCTGCCAGTGCACAAAATTCCCAAGGAACCTCATGAAAATATCTGATTGAGGTGTCCGTGGAAACCGACAGGTTTCGCAACCTTGGCTCAGTGGTACGAGCGAAGGGTATTCAAACTGGACTAATTAACTGAGAGGGAATTGTTGGAATTGGATGCTTGAAGGCACAGACGTGCCTGGACTCCGGTGACTAAAAGCTGACGGCGTGCAGTCCTCGTCAACGCAGTGTGGATGTCTGCAGCCCGTCGGAAATCTAAAGCCCTGACGCAGAGGCTCCGAAAATCAAGATTCCGAGGGCCAATTTCCACTTCACCATATACCACAGAGGCCCACGCGACTCCTCCAGCAGACACAGTGTGGCAATCACCCTCCCGCAATAAACGGACCATGCACTGCTTATGTGAGGACCAGTCAATGGCCGGTTGGCTTGCGCACGACTGAAGGGTCACTTTGCGAACACCTCTGACGTCTCCTTGTAGGTACCAACACTAGCTACCCACCAGTATGATGAAGGAACCTTAGGACTGGCCGTGATCTGCCGGTTACTTCTGGGGACTGGAATTATGGGGTTTATTCAGGCAACTCGTCAAGCAACCATCATATTTGCCACTTGGTTCTGGCTACGGCAATGGTGAAGGAACGCCGTGCTTTCCTGACCAGAACGAGTTATCTGTCGAAAGCACGTGTTTCCAGCACCAGTACAAACATCTGCGGACCTGTTATTAAAACGATGGTCGGACGGCCAACCAAATTGACAACATTCTAGTTAGTTCAGAGTTCCGTGGCCAAGCTCTTATTAGTAGGACTATGCCAACGCTGCCAGTGCTTGTGGATCAGACATGTACTCGTTTGCGCGCGTCTGAAAGTTAGCCTCTCACCCCCGCCAAAAACGACTGTCACAGGGCGCGTTTGTGTCACAAAATCAGATTAACCTAGCACGGCTGAAGCTTTGAGCATAAAGATTTTGACCGCGCTTTGCAATCCGAGTTGGAGAAATAGGCAATAGGAAATTCTCATCCCTGAA